CTGCTGCTGTCTCTATCACTTCTACTAATCATAGACGTCTTCCACCTCTAGCTGAATCAACTCAATTATTACCAGATTCATTTTTCCAAGAACAACTTGATGAAGCATTAGAAAGTGTTGATATTGAATTAAAAAAAACAGAACAACGGAATCTCAGACAGTTACATTCACGTCAAGCAACTCGTAAACGACGTTGATTAGTGTTGTTGTTTTTTTTTGTTTGAAAATTTACATTACTGTAAATATTGATTCTTATCTTTTTCCCTTTTTTATTTTTCATATGATACATAAAAAAATTTGGCATTTGGCTTATCTAATTTTATATTGATAGGAAAAACTAAACTTGGCTATTTATTGTGTGCATTTGTTTCAGGCTCAAAACTGTCTTGTTAACATTTTATTATGTACCTAAACGTAGAATTTTTACTCATTCCCCCCACTACACTACCCTACTTGATATATTTACACATTATTATTATTTATTGATTAACTAACTAACCGAATTTTATTCCTCTTCACTTGTGCTTATACAAAAATAGATGAGGAATATGTCTTTTTAAACAAATCCTAAAGGTTAGTAACCACGCGAAATTAAAAACAAATTTACTATGAATAACAATTTTACCATAATATAATGCGTGACTTACATTGTAATACTCATTTTTACAAAGAGACATTATACCGCATTGTAAAACCATCTCTTCTGTAATCTGAATCATTCTTTCTTTCCTTCTCTCCATATATATATATATATATATATATATATATATATATATATATATATATATATATATATATATCAGCCAAATATTTGTGACTCAATTGAAGTTTACATTAATTACAATGTGGACTGTAGTTCAAAATAATTTTAAGCCATACTTGAAGTCTAAATAAAAATTTAGTTGAAATATTTTTTTACTGTTTTTGAACGCTTCACAACCAAAGAAATCTTTCCATGTTAATTCGAGTAGATGCTAATGTATATATATGAGTAGTATTTACTATGGTACATGTAGTAAGGAAATGTATCATACCAAATATTTCAGATGAAAAAAGATGCCGGTTGAGTGGTCCAAAGGTTAAGCGTTTGTGCGTGAGACCGAAGGCCCCTGGTTCGAGTCCCTCGTGCAGGACCGTGGGTGCTCACTGCTGAGGAGTCCCATCCTAGGATGAAACGGACGTCTAGTACTTCTAGGTTTTCAGTGGTGGTCTAATATCGATGGACTCATGATCTCAATCAAGAACTTAACAATCTCCACAACCTCTTACTGAGAAAGTGCTTGTATAGGTTTTCATCTTGGTGTTTCCTATTGTCAGAGATATAGTTTATTTCCAGGTACAGAGTAAATAATACTGGAGATAGATATAGGATATTTGGTAATGATGGTAGATCAGTCGATAAAGTTGTCAATCTTCGTTTATTGAACTGATTCAAATATCTATTACATATGTCTAATAATCGCCTATCTCGATGTACAAAGTTAACTGTTGTAGGTCTGGGTTGGAACAGAGCTTGGTTGGTCTAACCATGAAGTCACCGATTGTTGATCAGTGCCATGTTTTCAGATACAGAACTAATGGTTAGTTTTGCGATTATTGGTTGGAGTCGTTGGGTGATATGGTTCATAATCGGTTCCAGTGATACAGGTGTATCCATTCTTGGCCTCTCCTCAGATCTTGGGCTTTGAATTTATGCTTTCTGTTCCGTGGATTGTCCTCGAATCATATTCTCTATGCTTAATCTTGTTTACAACCACTATACTGGTAAGAGGTCTACCACTCTGGGATTTATCGTGATGTCTTCTTTCATTTCACTGTGCTGGCATGGTATGCGAAAAGAAACATCCGCATTTGTGTCGCATTCTACAATCATTATGACTGAGTGAGACATTAAAAATGTCCTAAGTATTTCCTATGATATGAATATAGATTAACCTGTTGAAAGTCTTACCGTCAGTGTGCAGCTCTTTCTTTAAAAAATTGTTACAATCCATCTGACTTGAAAAAAATTCCAATCCGAAATCTAGTACTTCAATGTTATGCCTCAACTCTAACCCTACATAAAAATGTTATTTCTGGAAAACGATTTCGTTAAATTTCATGAACGACTTAATGTAGGTGACAGCATAACCTCTATTAAAATTTCAAACGAAATTCAAGTTTAACAATTGATTGGTTGGATTTCATTTAACTAGAGTTTACTAAGACACTGCAAAATTTATTGATAATCATTGTATAAAATAAATTCCTGTTATTAATAACTAATTTTAACAGCTCATCAGTCAGTCACAACGTAGAACTTCGTACGTACGTACATCAGTTCGAGTTGTCATACCACGTTAGCACATAGATGCAGTTGTCGATTCAAATCCCATAGTAGTAGGAGTATAATCAGAAATCCAAAAGATTAGGGTTTGAAGAAATTATTGAAGAAGTATAGTACAGTGAAATAAATTTGGAAAGAGAAAAAGATAGAGACATGTGGAATTCAGAAGATTAGAATTTGGGAGAACACAAATAGTGGATGCACCTTCGCCATTGCAAACGATTTTGAGCCATGTCATTCAAGGTCTCTAACCATCGATTGCTATCATCTCTCAGATTCCAAACAGGTAGTCTACACCTACCAACATGGCTTAGTACAATTGTCAGTGACTTCATGGATTTGTGCCACGTTTTGGTCTGGCCACCACTAGCTTTATCCCAACCTTTGGTTAGTGGGCGGATATCTCGCCTATGCCATAAATGACGCTCACTTATACATCATTATCAACCATATATATATATATATATATATATATATATATATATATATATATATATATATATATATATATATATAAATCTAACTTTGTTACACCCAATGAGTAGAAAAATTGTATTTTTGACGTGTCGTAACTAACTGTAAACCACTACTCTAAAGAAGTAGCTTACATTAAGTTACGAAACGTCAAAAATACAATTATTCTACTCATTGGAATATAACCAAAGAAATATGTTTACTGACTCCGTCTATAACTCCTTCGGGGGCTACTGCCGATTCCAAGCCCGGATAAAGGAGGAGGGTAGAAAACCAACTCACTAAAATACGCTAACCAGAAAAAAATTATTCGAACCATTTATAATAATTTGAAAAAACGCACACACTATTATTCAACTTTGTTAGCAAATATGGATAGTGATTAGCAGTGGAATCCAGGATGCGCGTTTCGTCCTATTCAAACAAACAATACTAAGTGAATTATTATTATCCAACTTGTTTAATTTAAAATCAACTTCCTACTTATAAAATAAATAAAGTAGTATATTATTCCATATAATTAATTTATTTATATATAATTTTCTCTTATTTATTTTATAGAAAAATAGTACAATTTCTGATTATTGAATGAAAGACTTAGTGTATTACTGTTCAATCTTGTTTGTTTATGTTTTATAATGTAAACTATACAGAAATTTATCAAATGTACAACAAAATATAGTTTTCTTTTTTTTTAATATTTTTCTTCCCATATTGTTTACCTAACTTGTAGTACAAAAATAATACTACATTATTGTTAGGATCGATGAAATATAGGACTTCCAGCAAATGATGTTAAACTTTCACCAAGATTACTTAATAATTTATTACGATTTGTGGAACTTGATAAACTTCCACTAGATCTAGATTCTTTTTTAACACATTGTGTTGTTTCTTCAACCTATTGAATAAAATATAAATTGTTATGAAGATATATTCAATTATTTGATTATTTATGTTATGTAATTGAAATCATGAGTCAATTGAAGCTAGACCACCATGGAAAACCTGGAAGCACTGAACGGCCGTTTCATCCTATTGCGGGACTCCTTAACAGTGCGCATCCACGATCTCGTCTCGCCAGATGGTGGTCTAGATTCAATTGAATCATGATTTCAACTATATAAAATTACTAAAATCTCCACAAAACTCCCTTCTAATATATTTTTTTAATCATGATAATATACTATGGAATATCTATAAGTGGATATGTTGCCTGGAGATTGACTTCTCGACCTCGAGTGTGCGGATGATATTGTCTTACTGTGCGATAATGCCCAAGGCATGCAATCCGCACTTAATCAGTTGGCAATCAGTGTCCGCAGGTACGGCATGTGCTTTGCACCCTCCAAGTGCAAAGTACTTCTACAAGACTGGCAGGATTCTCATCCTGTACTCACCCTGGATGGTGAGCAGATCGAAGTAGTTGAGAAGTTCGTGTATCTAGGTAGCTATATAAGTGCTGGTGGTGGCGTGAGTGATGAGGTTGATGCACGTATAAGGAAAGCCAGATCGGCTTATGCCAATCTGGGCCATCTTTGGCGCCTTCGTGATGTTAGTCTGGCTGTAAAAGGTCGGATTTACAACGCGTCGGTGAGAGCAGTTTTGCTCTATGCTTGTGAAACCTGGCCTCTCCGAGTTGAGGATGTTAGACGTCTCTCTGTGTTCGATCATCGTTGTCTCCGAAGGATTGCTGACATACAGTGGCAACACCATGTTAGTAATGCAGAGGTTCGGCATCGTGTGTTCGGGCGCAGAGACGATAATTCAATTGGTGTCACCATCTTGAAACACCGACTTCGGTGGCTTGGGCATGTTTTACGAATGTCGTCCCAGAGACTTCCACGTCGCGCATTATTTGCCGACACTGGGACTGGTTGGATAAAGCGGAGAGATGGTCAGTGTATGACATGGTGTCGTGGCATGAAAGAGAGCTGCAAAGGGCTAGCTTCCGTTGGTCCTTCACGACTCCCTGGTTGGGGTCCGAGAGATGGTGCAACACAGTGGCTAGAGACGTTATCAGATATGGCTCAGAATAGAAGCCAGTGGCGATCCTGCTGCAACCTTCTTTTACTTTCTACATAAAGAATGGTTCTAACTTTCTTAACTGAAAGAGTCTTCTGGTTGTACATTTCAGTCCGCCTTATCTTTTCATCCCTTCTCTTCCTACTTTCATTATTTTGTGTGGCGCATATGTATCTGGTGCCCTTTTGTACCAATATATGTGTTTAAATAAATAATCTATCAGTTGATAATACATACAACAATGTTAATAGTCTAGTTTTAATAAATTTTATTCAGTAATTTCATTCTTTTTTCTGTATTACATTCTCTGTTTATAGCTTCTTTCTATCATTGATTGATATCACTATTATTTTGATATCTTTAATGAGATGTAAATTATACGACTTCAAATGAATGCATACTAATGCTACATCTTATATTGTCTATAATGCAATAGCTTAGTTTTCAGCTTATATGCATACATAATCTTACTTCTAAATTTTTACGACAGTGTAGTATCAGTTTATATGTTAAGCCCATATACTTCATTCTAGCTATTGGCCAAGCCAATTCCCCTATATATTATGCTTCATATTTTGGTCTTGTTAATTATTCGCTTATTAACATTGACTATATTTTTATGAGTTCATGTGTATGCACACTTCGTATCTTATTCATCATATGTTTGTCATTCATTTTTGTCTGCTATAAATACTGATTAACACTTGCTTAAAATAAGTTGGCTTCCCCTTCATCTCCAATACGCATTACTTTCGCTTTGCTCTTGAGTTGGCTTACCAGCCATCTCCAAAACGTGTCATGTATGCTTCGCTCGCTAACATTTACTCATGTGCTTACAACTTTCTGGTCTACGTTATTTGTCAATAAAAATGTAGTTGCCGCTTCCTTTTGCCTTCTGATTCTATACACCGTTAAGACTTAAATTATAACGGTTATGGCAGGATTAAACTATACTGCCGACCTTTGAACGAATCTTAAATGACCTTGAAAATATAAGCCAATCAGAAGACAGTTAGTATACAGTAAAAATATATTATACAAAACCAAAGAATTAAAGTGGAAACACCTCTTTTACATGGGTCAAAAACTTCTCAAGGTCAGATATAGGTTCAGAAGTTCTAAAATCATAGTGCATACGGTACAGGAACACTTCCATATGGCTCCATAGTAGTCGACCTCTGAAACCATGATAAGGTCTCAAAAATTCTTTCAGCCTCGACCACATAGCTTCAATAATGTTAGTATATTGGTATGGTTTACGGGTTAGGGTTAGAATTAAGGTTTAGGTGTAGGGTTATGGGTGAGACTATAAGTTATGGATAACCTTTGAGCGACGCTAGAGTGACTCTGAGAGTGTCAACATAATAACTAAGACCAAATGAGGTTTATAAACCTGTGTGAAGAATTCAAATTATTATTTACAGTTCATGATTAAGGCTAGGAATTATACTTAGGGTTTTCATCACGAACTGACATAAGCTATAATGCCAAAACTCTATTTATCTTAATGGATAATTGAATTTCGCGCCAAAATCTTATGATCACTTCTGTTGTAGACGCTATTATCACGTCTTCCCTAAAATCCGGTGTAAACCGACCGTACGTAAGCATCAGGTACCGAACTTAGCGCCGTGACCTTGATAACCCGCGAAAGCTTCTGATTGACTCGGCAGTATAGTTTAATCCTACCACGGTTATCGAAGTGAACGATTAACGAAGCACGGCACTACAACAGACATCCTTGCTTCTGTTTTCATAATGAGTATGATGTGAACAGCGAAACAAGAAGCTTTAACAAACTAAGGAAGCTATTTTTGGGGACGTTATTTCATTTAATTCAAAGCTTGCAAAACTGTAACATTTAATTTTGCCCCTAGTCAGTCTATTCTACAGATAATAAGCCTTCGTTTGATGTATGATTCACTGCCATAGCATTTTCTGTTCCAAAGCTTTTGTAATTTAGACATAACCTTTTGTACTCTATTTCCTATTGTAATCCCCCAGTTTAGGACATATTTGTATTTTCCTAATTATTGTACATTGTGGTCAGGTTAGTCATGTATTTATTCATGTATCTTTTTACATGAATTCGGAATGCGGGTACCAGATCGGATTTGGAATAAAACGAGTAGTGTTCCAATTGTCTTGTCTTCTCTCTCTCGTGTGCCTGTCAGCCAATCAGGGATAGAATAGTTTTCGTCTCTTTACCCCCACTTCGAACTCACGCGTACTGGCCTCAAGGTTAAACCAGTCAGCCTATCGCGTCTAGGTCTTAATCTACACTAGATAAGTTGTCCTCTGCACTAAAGTGGGTAGATAGATCAAGGACGTAACAGAGTAGTGTTTAATTTCCGATCAATTGTTTATATTTTATCTATATTTCTGATCGATTTCAATTTCAATTTACTCGATTTCATGGTATGGTTTAATTATTGTTTGTGTGAAAAGTGTTACTTCTTATTACCTCTCTAGATTCTAGTTCCTATTTTCGTCAGTATATTTATATTAAATAACAGGTCCACTGAATTTAAGCTCACTGGCATGAATATTTCTTATTCACTGTTGATATCCCGGATTTTATATCCTATGCGGTTTTATGAGATACCGTTGAGTAATTACAATTTTAGCAAAGCAATAGTCCAGTGCTTTCTAGTTTTCAAGGGTTCTGCAGTTTAGATTAAAAATTATTGAATTATGCTAACTTTTAAAACACAGTGTGTAAGTTAGCTTAGAAAGTATACTAAACAATTAGATGCTTCACAACCCTATATTGAAGTCATCATGAGCTCATTAATGATTAGCTCCGAGAGGTAATTCTCACCGTCCTGGTGAGAAGCTGTGACCAGTGGAGTTTAATCGTGTCGGATTTGAGGCAGTTACCCACCGAAGACAGTGAAATATGGTTGCGCAATGCATTGGATTGTTTGAAGTTCAACATTCACACCGTTGGATGCCTGATCTAAGGGTGAAGCGTTCGCTCGAGATCGCATGTCCTGGGCTCGATTCCCGCGTGCGGGATCTTGGATGAGCACTGCTAATGAGTCTTATACTGAGACAAAACGGTCATCTAGTGCTTCCAGGCTTTAATGGTGGTCTAACATTTATTGGTTCATGGTCCTAATAAAAACACAATAACCTCCACAACCCTATACTGATAAACTCTCCGAAATAAACTTTTGTATTTGCTACAAAGTTTCTGTAGGTTTTGATTCTTGCTGATAATTGGGTTGATATTGTTGTAATCCACAATTATTAACTTGTAACTAAGTATATTTCATGTTGGACCGCATTGATTTGTTCCATTCTAATCGTATTGTCTGCTTTTTCTACAGACTAACTACTACTGTACTGCACTACAATTGACTGGTCACTACTCGGTAACCAATTATTTGTAAATAATCTAGTCTTATTGGTCAGTTGCGGCCCGAGTACCTCAGTGGTTACGTTTCACATTGTAAAACTGGATAATGCGGGTCTTAGTCTCACAGGTAGCATCAATACCGATCTATTTTATAGGTTCAGCACTGTTTTCTACAGAATACCTTCAATCACTTAACACTATGATGCACTATTTACTAGTCATATTTATTTTATTATCATGATACATTTATTGTATGTTCTCGTACTCACCTGAATTCTTTGAATGACTGTTTGATATACAATAGTATTTAATACATTTTTAGGCAAGCCTTGCAATTCAAAGGCACTGAAAATTTTCTGCAAAGAAAATAGTAACGCAAGAGTATACAGTTAGTTGATGGATATGATGAATGGATTCCGTAGATTATTACTCATATAAGCAATGTTAATTGGGGTTTGAAACAATATGTTGGGTTTATGTCTCAGTGAAGACGTCAACTCTAGGATGCAGCTACAGCCGGCTAACAAGCGCCAAGTCAGATAAAATACACATACTGGATTCTTATTCTGGTCACTATCCAACTTAATAACAACTTTTGACTAAATGGCAATATCGGAACGACACATATATCAAAGAAGACCAATTAATTGTAGTCCTGAATATCAACAATGGGAACAAACAAACCCTAACAGAAAAAATGTAAACGTGAGCTTGGGGATCCATCTACGAAAAGTGATGTGGCAGCCTGGTAGTCAAGTTCTTGGTTTCAATCGATTGTTCGTAGATTTGGAAGCTGTTCACATCTAGTTCAGTTTAGGCAAACAAATATTGTCAATACCCTCTAGAGCGAACATTATGAACTCAAGTCTGATATATAAACCTCTACTTGCTAAGGGGTTGCTTGCAACTCAAGGTTCACAAATTAATTACAACTCATCAATATTTCATTGTTAATACTATTTATCTAACTCTTAACATACTATTTCCGTGTTTTCATCATTCATGTACATTAAATAAAAATGATACACGCAATACATTGCAACCCTGATTCGGTTAGACTAGTGACTACATTAGAACTTGATCGATAGTGTGGTGTGGTCTATTTATATCCTCATAAGTAGTATATAGTGATGGACAGACATTGAATGTATTTTGGCAGAAGACCTATAAAGAAAAAACTAAAATGAAGCGCAAATGGTAGGAAAGTGCATGAACAATGAAGTTAGAGAAAACGGACTAATATTTACAGAAGGAACAGTGAAGATTGGGACATTTGGTTGTTATTTTGCAAATTAACTGTTTGCTGTATGGTTATCAGAATTCAGTGAGATAGTCTGTAATTTGTGCTTACATACATTCGATTATCCCTAGTCGTGTTCTTGTTCATTACAATAGAACCAGAAGAACATGAGTTTATAACTAGGAGACCAGTTAATATTATCTCAGGAATTATTTAGATTGAATCCTTCAAATAGTAAAATCCTTCTTTGAATGTAATTTCAAGGAAATACTTTTAAAAGTCAAATAAATAATATAATTCAAATTATTTCACATACTTTAACAATAATTGAAAGACATTTAATTTGATGTGGATGAAGTAGAATACTTTTACGTTGAATTAACCAATCGTAAATCGCTTTCATTTGACGTGTATACCATATCTATAAGTTAAATAGAAAGTTATACTTCGATAGAATCAAATTTGTACACAGTTGAACTGTGTAAAATAGTACATTAAAACGGTTGATATTAATACACGTCAGTACCTCATTGAGTTCGTTCACTGCTACATTATATTTTTTTTTTATCAATAATTAGGTTTTCATTAGTATTAATGGTAGAATGATGTTTAGCCTACGACAATGTGAATTTCAATTTCAGATAGAGAATAAGTGTCATCGAAATGTCAAACGTGGTTAATAAATCTTTTACTGTAAACATGATATGTGTTACAGAATTGTCTTATTAAAATACCTGTCAATAAGAAGTATCTCGTTCGATTTCGAGTACTCTATTTTTCATTCCTAACTGATCCTACTGTGTATATTTTTTGTAACTAGCTAATCATGTATATGAAAGCGTGAGTCAATTGAAGCTAGGCCACCAGGGAAAACCTGGAAGCACTGTACGGCCGTTTCGTCCTATTTTGGGACTCCTCAGCAGTGGTCTAGCTTCAATTGACAAACGCTTTCAACTATGAAAATACTAAATCTCCACAAAACCCCTTCTGATTATAACCATGTATATATTTGTTTATTCTACTTAAACCTACACGTTTTGTGATGGCTAGTATTTTAATCGATTGTTCAAAGTTACAGAAATGAAGTGATGCTTGAATCTATGACTTTTCAATAGAGAATTTATTTTTATCAATAGTCCACTTCCTTATAATGTGATTGTGAGGACGGTCCACAGGTGAAGTTGAAGAAGCTCAGAAGGAGCCGAACATATTTCATCCGATCAGCCTTTGGAAAAATATTCCAGAATCACTACGTGTAGCTTCCATATTGGACAATGCCAATAACCCCCTGTGTGTGGATTGGATGACCATAATGATGATTTCGTCTTTACTAAAAACTATAAATACCTGACAGTTTTGTATCACAATTAACACTATTTTGAATAACATTCCTCCCGCTTGTCTTCCGTCTTCTTTTTTTGCGACTTGGGAAGGTTCTAGCGTTTGAGTACTCAAGTTATACGCGACACACTAAGAATCTAAGTTCGATATATAACAGTAATAATATATGACTGCATTGATTTACTAATATCCCATATTTTATGGTGAAAAGCTATCTTCAATTTTTTCCATTTCTCTTCTTAAAGTTTATTAATCTAAATTCATTTAGTATTGTTTGTTTGAATCTTCCCATTGATGTTTAGGTCTGCAACTGGTCAGTCTCTTATTGGCATATGTGCATACTGTGAGCATTGCCTCGATATTGCCTTAATTCGCAAGCATTATAAGCAAAGATGGATAGTGGCTAGCAGTGGAATCCAGGACGCAAGTTTCGTCCTATTTGGGACTCGTCAGCTGGATGTGCCTGTATCTCAGAGTTGATGTTCACTCTGGGACTCTAACCCAATACCTTTCGCTTCAAACACCATCGCGTTATCCACTCGGCCACTGAGTCTTGAAACCACTTGCTTGTGCGATGAGGTTATCAATCTACTTTCATTTCATCTCCATACATAAATCTGACGAAGGCTAGTTTACTTAGAGATTTTATTCCTTGTAATACTTCAATAATACTCCTCAAATGTTAAACATCTATGAGTTGAATATATACATCTTCTAAATAGGTAATGAAAACTTCAATCTAATCAGCGGCGCAATTAAAACCCTTAACTGATTATTAGCTTTTACTCTATGTAACAGGTCATTTATGTTATGGTATTTTCATTCCATAGAGTTGATGAAATGGGTAAAAAATAATCAGACTTATAATTTTCATACTATACTACCTTTCAATAGTAAATTACGATTATGTCATGAAATCCAATCACGAAGTGTGGATTTTCTTCCTGACTTCATAGACTGATGTTATATGTTAGCTTGATCGCCATCCGGAATTTCATAATGAAATTATAAGTTAGTCAACAAAGCAAGGTATACATAAAATATGCTTCAGCCATCTTAACTCAGGCAGCTTCTCAGACCTATCAATGAATTCATCTTCAAAATCTAATACTAGAGTTATTGTACAAGAAGTCAAAACTGTTTGTAAAGGTGTGAAGATGATTTACACAATATTTTAACGACTTGGAAGAGTGTAAAGAGAATTCAAGACATCCATCCAACGAATATTGATTACAGTTGTAAACATAAACCACTGGAAGTTGATTCAGTGGTAACGTATTTGCTTCGAGAGAAAAATGTTCGATAGTCAGAGCATCATAGATTAGAATCTGGAAGTAAAATGGAACAGGTGTTTTATGACTTGTGGCCGAGTGGATGACTAGTTGATGGGTGACTTGATAAACCGCCAATCAGGGAGCAGCGAATTATCGATTGGAACAGTGACACGAAAGCCGTACGTGTTTAATATCTCCCTACGTAAAACCGTTCTCCACCTTCTGTGAGTTCTTAGTGTGAAACTACATTGAAAAAATATACAAAATGCTTCATGAAAAAGTATTCAACTCACGTTTTGCTTCTCAAATTTGTGGTAATAATTAGTCGTTTTAGCTATTGAATTAAGAAAACACTGAACAAAACATCAAACAACTCACTTCTAACATAGCAAGCATAGAAACTTCATCAACTAAATTTTCGCTTAAATTTTGTAAATTCATATGAAGAAAAGTTCCATAAGCTTGACCTTCTTCATCATTTTGTTTCTATAGAAGAATGATAACAACAAACATCTATTTGTTTTGTGTATTTCTCAAGTAAGATGAAAAACTGTTGATGTATATCTTTAGACGAAAAATTAAAGAACTTGTCAAATCCTAGTCATATGTATATCAAAAGACGAGACTACTAGCCAGTTGATTGAACAGTGGTAATATAGTTAAAAATCGTATTCATGTTTTAGAAAAAAATCCAACTAAGATAATATGTTTGAGTAGCATTTCAGATGGCGAACAGTTCTTTTATGGTAAACATGAAGGTCATGAAGCGGCCAATGAGAATGAACTTTTCTTTATCATATCTATAGAAGACCGAAACTTAAATTGTACCTATTAATAGATACTACAGATACTGAAGACTATAATGATTATTAGTATACTGAAATATGTAGAGATTGTACCACAGTGTAATGGAATAATATCAGGTGTACTTTGAGAACATTTAATCAGTATTATAACAGATGCCCAACTGATTAACCAGTTTATAAATCTGACTTGTACCTTTACGTTTTAACACTTCCATCTCAATCTCATTAAATAAAGTATGCAAAAACTTTGTTTCTAAAAATTTTGTTCTTCGTAACTTAGACTGTTTACAGATGAAGAGAAACTTTTATGTTATACTAAACAGGTTAGATTGTTCTTGTCAGTATGAAAGAAAAATTAAATGTTAAACATAGTTGAAATCATGAGTCAATTGAAGCTAGACCACCATGGAAAACCTGGAAGTACTTGGTTCGAATCTCTCGAGGCGGGATCGTGGATGCACGCAGCTGGGGAGTCCCACAATAGGACGAAATGGCCGTCCAGTACTTCCAGGTTTTCCATGGTGGTTTAGCTTCAATTGACTCATGATTTCAACTATGTTTAACATTTAATTTTTCTTTCATACATAAGATCGTAAGATGAACAAATAGAATAACAATGAATTTCGACATAAACTTCTCACTTACAGTTAATACAAGAATCGATGAAAATAGCTTATTCTCATCAAATCTTGTCAATTTCTTTAATACACCATTCAAAATAATCATACAATGATCAACAATAATGACCATCATACTTTTCTGTACACTTTCAAAGAATTCTTGAGTTTCCATATGTAATTGAGTCTGTAAATAAAATATCAAAAAATGATTAGTTAATAAATCTTGTCTACTTAACAATGATATACTTAAGTATGTTCAAAATAACATAACTTTCTATAGTTTCTTTCACGAACAGATATTAGTTAGACGACAACTGAAGACCACGAAACACTAAACAGGTGTTTTCTCCTAATATGAAATACATGGTACCATCGAGGGTTCATATTGCTGAATAGCCCCATATTGGAAGGAAATAACTCTCCAGTGCTTCTTGGTTTTCGGTGGTTGTTCAAATCGAATCAGTCGATGCAACATACGAAACTCACCAGGGAACTTTATCACTGTTCAATTTAAGTTGGATTATCATTGAAAACTAGAAAGTCAAAATTTAGGATCTAAAGACATAAAGAAAGTGAATGCACCTGTGCCGTTGTAAAATACCCTGAGCTATGTTGCCTAAAGTAATCAATCATAAATTGAAATAGTTCCACGGACACAAACCAGGTAATCTATAACTACATACACGGCTCACTTCAACAATCAATAACTTCATCCACCAAGGTAATGTCTTGGTTCGACTGTCCCCAGTTTTCTACCACAGACCAGCCCCACTGAACCCAATGGACATCGAGGTAGCACACACAGACCTTCCTATAGATGTCACTCCATCAACGATCGAAGAAATCAGCTTGGCCATCAGAAAATCAGGAGTAGGAGAGAAGCAGGACCGGACAATATAACAGCGAAAGCAATGAAGTAACAGCAAACATACTTTGCGTTCTATTTGGAAGGATATGAAAGGAAGGACAAGTGCTGACAGACTGGAAAGAAGGATACTTCATCAAGATACCAAAGAAAGGAGATCTGTGCAAGTGTGAGAACTATAGAGGCAACATACTACTATCAGTACTAGGAAAGGTTTTCAAAGCTGTTGCTGAACAGGATGAAAGACTCAGTAAACGTCCAAGTTTTAGGTCAACAAGTCGGATTCTAGAAGTATTGGTCGTGCACAAACCAAATCATGACACTACGGATCATCGTTGAACAATCTACTGAATGGAGATTGTCATTATCTGTCAACATCATTGACCATGAGAAAGCGTTTGGTAGCGTGGATATGAGAACTTTATGGAACCTTCTTCGAAAATATGTCGTACCTGAAAGGATAGTCACCATCATATGGAATTTATACGACCGAATGCACTCCAGAGTTGTGTATGGAGGACAGCTGGAAACGCATTTCAAGTGTGGACGGTTATAGACAAAGCTGTTTACTCTCCTCCTTACTCTTTATTCTGGTGATTATATAGCAACTCAGAAACAATTGAGTTTGTTTACATCCAATTCAGCTAAGCCCTTTTGTTAACTCATTTAATGGACAGTCATTCATACAATAACAACCCATCTATACCATTGTACTTTTATTATATACGCTTGAACATTGATTACTACCTACGCATATATTCATTCCTCTAGCATTATTATTAATCGCTTATTTGATCTGATGATTCATGCTTTTCCACTTATATATATATATATATATATATATATATATATATATATATATATATATATATATATATATATATATGTACGTCTTAATCCTGTTTACTGCACTTGCCCTGCTTGCTCTCTGCTCTGCACTACGCTACACCGTACTGTACATGCTTACTCATTCATTCGGCTCTACGGCACTGCTCTTTCATGCTTGGTTGACGTACCTGTAATATTGGATAACTGTGTGTGGTTCAGTAATAAACGCGATCAACCCTTCGTATTCGTTTTCTGATTTATACATCGTTAGGACGTTGTCGAGTAACGGTTATCAAGACGAACAAAATACGAAGCCTAGGGATAATATCGAAAATCGACCACCACAGAATTAGAATCCTCGCCGAGCGATCAGAAAACAATTTTCCACGATATAATCTAATCTCAAAAATTCAAAGCGCTGCGTCTCAAATCGGATTATTATCTGTATCATAATCATAATTGTGGATTTATTAGATCCTAACTCACAAACATTGAACTTAACGATTATATTCATACTAAATAACGATCATTCACAAACAATTGATATATTGCTGCAATTTAGTAAGTCTGTTCCATTTTATAAATTGTACCATTTATTATTATCATTGTTTTTGTTCATCCTTTTTTTACTTTGTAAGATTTACATCATATTTGTGTACTACTCAAAATTTTTTTTGTAAGCATGTCTTCCGAAAACAATATGTCAAGTATACATCAAACTTCGTCCGTGAGAACTCTTAACCTTCCAGTCCCCTCTTTTAAGGTCACCGACCCTCAGCTGTGGTTCATTAGACTCGAAAACTATTTTCTGGCTAGTCGTATTATCTTACAAAGAGATAAATTCGGCCTCACAAGCACTCTCTTCCCAAACGAAGTAGCAGAAAGCGTACGAGAGGCGTTATCTAAACCGGATACTGAAAGGCCATACGATGTACTAAAGCAGGCAGTAATTAAAGCAGTCGCACTAAGTGACCAACAAGCTGTTGAGCAGCTTCTCAACCAGGTGGAAATGGAGGATAGAACTCCATCACAGTTAAAAACTCATATAAAAAGTCTACTAGGTGATAGAAAAATAGACAATAACTTATTTTATCAACTGTGGCTTCGCCGACTCCCGTCCAGTATCCAGCAAATCTTAGCTGTTGGAGATACTGACGATGACATAGACAACATAGCGAAAATGGCTGATAGAATATACGAAAGAGCAAAACAAGCAAGCCCTCAATCACAGCGTGACAGTAGACGATAGAATCAGTACTCTGCAGAAGGAGATAGATGTTTTATGCCGCAAGCTCACAAAGTTGACCCAGAGCGAGAGACCACAAAAATTATCACGAGATGGCACGTGTGAGAGAAGCCGATCAGCTTCCAGAAGACGCGCAACTCCGCTGATATGTTGGTATCATCAAATGTATGGTTACAGAGCAAGAAAATGCTTACAACCTTGTAAATTTAGCACGGCAAGTAAGCGGTACCCTCGGTTGACCATGGCAACACCTGCAGCGAACATAAAGCCCTCAAACAGCCGCCTATTTTATATACAAGACCGAATGACAGGCACTCAATTCTTGGTGGACACGGGAGCTGAAATTAGCGTAATATCCCCAGTATGTGACGACAAAAAAAACCTTAACAAGTCATTAGTTCTAAAAGCGGCGAATAAATCAGATATCAAAACATATGGCAAACGAATGTTGTCCTTAAATTTCGGACGAGACGCGACATACCGCTGGGATTTTGTCATAGCAGACGTATCGGTACCTATAATAGGCATCGATTTCTTACGCAATTTCGATTTACTTGTAGACTCACGGCGCCATCGCCTCATAAACGGTACCCATACTACTTCGATTACGGGAATACTTACAGAATGTTTCTATGAACCTAGTGGTAGATAAGAGCCGCAACGACCCACGCAAATTATTGTTAAACGAGTTTCCAGAGCTTTTAAAATTAACGTACAATAAAACAGATCTCAAGCATACTATCCAACACCATATTGTAACCAGCGGGCCACCGGTTAATGCAAGGCCAAGAAGATTAGACCCAAAAAGGCTAGCAATAGCAAAGCAAGAATTCGACAAGTTAATGAGGCTAGGCATAATCAGGCCTTCGAACAGCCCGTGGGCATCCCCATTACACCTGGCTCCGAAAAAGGACGGAGAATTAAGACCATGTGGAGACTATCGAGCACTTAACAAGCAAACAATGGCCAATAGATACCCTATACCACACATCCATGATTTTACCTACAGTATAGAAGATGCTACAGTATTCTCGAAGATTGACTTAGAGCGTATAATCACATCCCGGTCGCTCCACAAGACATATCAAAAACCTCAGTAACAACCCCTTTTGGGCTATATGAATTCTTACGTATGCCTTTTGGATTGACTAATGCAGCACAGACATTTCAACGATTTATTGACCAGGTCATTAGAGGCTTACCTGGAGTATACGCATACATAGATGACTTACTAGTAGCCAGCTCCACTATGGACGAGCACATACAACAACTACGGCAATTATTCGCGCGACTAAGAGATCACGGTATTTCCATAAACATTGAGAAGCGTGAGTCTGGAAAAGGATCCTCACAGTTCCTTGGACACATTTTAACTTCTCAATGTATCACAAGGTATCTACAGAAATCGATACCATCAGAGACAATTCGTTGCCCGATACACAGAAGAAATTATGACGATTTCTGGGACTAATAAATTATTACTGACGTTTTATTCCGAATTGTGTGGCAATACTTCAACCACTGACCGATGCGTTACGGCGACACTCACGGACATTCCAATTATCAGCAGAGGCAATACAGGCCTTCGAAAACGCCAAGAAGGCACTCAACAAAAAGACGACACTAGCTAGAAGAAAGAGCGAAACACCATTAGCTATCATGACAAATGCATCGAATGTGGCGGTAGGAGCTGTTTTACAACAGTTAGTAAATGGCACATGGGAACCGCTTTCATTCTTCTCAAATAGACTGAATCCTACTGTAGCTGTAAATAATTCCCCAAAATCAATAGCTCATTAAGTGTTCGACATTGGATGCTGATCACGTTGTTTAAGTGGACTTGTTTAGCTGAAGGCTTTCGGTCATGCATCCGTACCAGATCACGTTTCAACACGGCGTGGGACACAGCTCCTACGTATCATTAGCCAGCTTATAGAAAAGGTCCTCGATATATTGGTAACGAATCAAATATATCTTTCCTGCCTCTTCTCGTCTGACTTCTGATTGCTATCTGACTGGGAACGATCGAATATAGAAGGTGCTACTGGTAGCTAGTTGTAAAACTAGAATATCCGTTGCATCATCATTGTTGAACCCGACGTGATCTGGTACACCAAGTCAATATACTGTGAGTCTGTTCCATTTTGGAATATTATTATTCATTGTTATTTTTTATTTGAATTTTATATATTGTGATATTCTTTTTTTCACGATTTTTTTTCCCGGATATATTTTAATTAGATAT